AAAAAAAAAAAAAAAAAGAATGAGGAATTCCATAGGTATTCCAATACCCTATGGAATGTCAGGTAGCCCTTTACCCCATTTGTAGAATATCCACGAGTTATTCTACAATAATTAGTGATTTTGCCCTTTGAGTAAATTTGTTAACCTCTTAGATATTTAGATCCTTAGTCTCATATAGAAGAACAAAATAACAAACAGAGGAAGTCCGCTTCCAACTCTAAAATGACAGGATTCATTGGTTCTGTGGTCACAAAGGGTACCTTTTGGTTCTTACTCTTAGCACCTGATGCCAGGACTGCTGTAATATCATCCCAACTAGTCTTGTTTTTGTCCTCATCTTACCACAGTTTATACTCATATTACTCTTGTAATCTATAGCTCCAAATATATCATTCTCTGGACCAAAATTTCTGAAGGCTCCTAGTTAAGGAAACAAAAATGAATTTTCCTGACAGAGACAAATAATAAAGATTAGGTTCCAAAGAGTGTGTGTGTGCGCGCGCATGTGCGTGCATGTAAATTATAACTAGCTGTAACAAATTTTAGTTTCAGCCAAATTAAAAAAATTGCAATTTTGTAAACACATTTTTTACAATCTCCTGTTTATAACATTGCTTTTGTAAAAAACTGGCATCCCCTACTCTCACAATAGAAATCCAACATATCCATCAAAGTTCAGCTGAAGTCATTTCATAAGACCTCTGGAGTAGACAGATCACTAGATCTCCATCTCCTGAACTTCGGACTACCAATTTAATGCAACTCATCCAGTCACTTCTATATATTATGCATCAGTGACAGAACTGCCTTTTTGGCCTCTCTTAAACTATTGGTCAACTCGTATGTGTCAATCATCTATCTCTAGGATGGATAGAATGTAATTATTTCATATCAACACCATATCATGCATGGCACTTAAAAGAGATGTAGCATCTAATATTTGTTTCTTTCTGTATCATTTTAAAGGGTACCTACACTCATAATTATACATACAAACACATTTTAATGAAAAAGAAACCAACGCTAAATACTGTTCACCATAAGTAGCTGGGTTGAGGTCACAGCCCAGGTGTCCTAACTGGTCTCGTATCATCTGCTCTGCCACAGTGACCAGGGGGAGGCACTGTTTGAAGTGCTGGGACCTAAAGGGTTACATATTTGGGCATCTCCTCCAGCATAACTGCAAAGATGCATAGTTTTTACTTAGGCAGGTAAATCTGGCCCTCGCTGTGCCTCTGGCATCGGGGGTGGAAATTAACCAACTGTCGAATAAAATATAATAACCCTGTGGCTTGAATGACTAATACTCTGTCTGAGCTGGTCAGGCTTTGCCTCTGTTAACTGCACTATCCTGGACCAGATGCACTGTGGCTTGACTCCAGAAACAAAATTGTACATTCTGCTGAAAGGGTAGCCAAGCTGCTCAAGAGGGAAAAAGAAAAAAAAAAAAAACTAATTGTAAATTCTTTCTATTTTTAGGCTTAATGTGCATTTTATTTGGCAGTAGGGGCAGTATGAATAAAATTCCAATCTTAAGAATTTAAATTTGCTCCTGTTAGTAGAGACCTTGGGAAGTGGCTTACACCATTCTCCTACCTCCAAAAATGCCACACATCTATGTAAACCCAGACAAATAACCCCCCCCAAACATCCCCCTCACTTAATTAAGTCCAGTATTTCTTTAAATATATGTAATTTCTAATTCATGATTCCTCTAAGGAGAATTTTCAGAACGACTTCACTGAATAATGCATTTCACAAAGAGTATTCTAGTACTTCACCAATGATCCCTCTGGCTTTTATGGCTAGAGTCTCTCTCACATTTACCTGTGTCTATGCTGTTTTTTTCATTTTCATTTACTTTTACCTGCTATTGCTAGCCTTTTATTCTATCTGAGAATGCAAGTTCTTTAAAGGCAGGGACCATATGTATGTTATAGTATATATGTCGTATAGAGTATATGATACATTTTACAGGATAATATTTCATGGGATGTATGCACACATATACACACACAGGTAATACCAGGAGCTCATTTAATCCTTTCTTTTGAAGTGGACTTCTCCTTCAACCTTACCACCAAGTGAAGAAAAGTTCTGAGATGACTAGGTTCTGTGTAAGGTTACCTATATACACCATTATTGTTCCTCTGGCCGTTTCTCTCAGTGTTTTAGAAAATCCCTACTTCATGTTCTTAATCTTTTCAAGGTTATGCTTCCCTTTAAGAGTCTGAGAAAAGCCATGGGCCCTTCACCAAGAGAAATGATCACCTGTCCACAAACATAAGACACTGTCTCCAATTCAGTGGCAGTGAGAGGCTCCCGACTGCCTGAAGAATCTATGCTAGGAACTGCTTCTCCACCATGCCTACTTAGCACACCTAATGTTTATTTGGTATGTGGTTTCAGACATTGACATGATTTAAACAAGCAACCTGAGACTCTCCCTGCTTTCTTTTGTCCCATTAGCACAAAGGTCAGGCTACGGCTCTGAACAAAAATGATCATTGAGGTGAAATGGAGAGATGATTAAATTAACACTATTTTCCTGAGAACCATGCTTCATTATCTCTAACAAGGTAAGCATGCTCACCTTTTGGTCTTGACTGTATGCCAGAATCCAGTCTTCTTGCTTGGGGTGAAAAAGCAAGCTTTGAATGTAGAAGTTCAGTCGGTATTTTTGATAAGTTGCCCCTTCATCTGAGCTGATCAATAAGCTGCTCTCAATCTCTGGGTCTGTGAGTAACATTATCTGCAGCAAAGAATTGTTGGAGAAAGAAACAATAAAAAAATTAAGTTTACAAAATTGCAAAACTTGAAAGTCAGCTTAATTTTGACAAGGGAAGGACAGGGCCAGGCAAAGAACGCTTAGCTCAACAGGGACCTTGACTCTGTCAGGTTGATTGTTCCATCTTGGACCAGTGCTACAAAAGTACATGCACAAAGAAATGAAGGAAGTAGAATAAACTGGAAGAAACAGGAATGAAACAGATAACTGTATTCTCTTCTCTTTTAGGGGACTCCTTGTTTTGTTTCCAAGGTTATTTCCTGAACCTGGAACACTTACCCTTGTTCCCTTCTTCCTACTGTGCCATATCTACTTTCCATTTTCAGAGACTAAAAGACTGGTTAGATAGTCTGTTGTGGGAAAGGTAGAAGAGAAAGAAGATGGAGTCCGCTGTTTTTCTTTCCTACCTCAAATCCTTTTACTCCATTTCAAGGATACCCTATTACATCCTAACTTAGCTTGATTTTCTGAGTCTTAAGTCAAAGTCTAGACTCTAAAGATTTCTCTAGGAATTTTACAAAGGCTATTTTACCCCACCACCCTCATCACCTTCTAGCCTGCTACATAATTTACTTATTTATCATGTTTCTTGTCCATATGCCTTCCACTAAAAAATAAACCTTGTGCCAATAGAGATAGCTGTCCATGCAGTTCACAGATGCATTCCCAGCAGCTGGACTAAGGTCCGGTATGTACTGTACGCTGATAAACATTTGTCAAAGGAAAGAATAAATAAATGACTGCATGAAAAGAGTTTCAGAGAGTCATGTGGACTTAGAAAGATGCCCAGAACACTCTGAGATATGGATGGAAGTTTCACAACTTCTAAGTCCACATGACTTTCTAAAACTGAAAGAAAAGTTGGTTGCCCTTCACAATCTGTACCACAGAAGAAGCTATAAATATGTAAAAATTCACAGCTTCAGATGTTTTACACTGTCTCACTGGGATGCCCAATTTTGTCCAGAGCAATGGGATTAATCATAAGAGCATCAAGATGGAGGAACTGCCCTCGAAACTGCTTTAAATCCTCTCGTTTTATGCCTCTGGGAATGTGTGATAAAGTACTTCATTCCTGGCTGGCTGTGAGTCGTCTTTAACTCAGTCAAAGTGTGCACCTGTGTCTCCAGACAGGTGGCTTTAATGCCACCCATTGACTTCTTCCCATCAACTTACTAATTGGCACTTTCTGAACTTGGTTCGAGGAAGCATGAAATATGTGCTTAATGTGTTCCTGTATGAACAGAAATCACTGCAGCCCAGGGTTTAAAGATTACCAGCTGAGTATGCTGCACTTCCAAGAAAGAGAGAGAGAGAGAGAAATAGAGTTATATCTTAAAAGAGCAGAGTGCCAGGCAAACACGTGGAGATTTCTCAAACATTTGGAGGCAGTCATATCAAAGCCTCTGAACAGTCAGTGTCATCTTTGGAAAGTGGTGTCCTGTCGCTGTAAACGGCACAAGAAGATTGCATACCAGACACTCTGCCCAAACTCTGTTTATGTTATCCAGGATGAATTTAAGGTTCCTTGCTGTCCTTTCAATCTCCCCTTCTTGAAGAGGAGAAAAGGGATGTAATGGGGTGAAGGCAATGCTGTGGCTGTCAGCTGCACTCCAGGCAAGATGAAAAGCGCACACAAAATTGAAGACCAATTGCCTCTTGTACCATGTTCCAGGAAAGCCACTGCCCACCAACCATAAATTCTGACAAAGCTATGGATTTCTGTGTCTCACATTCACCAAGCGGACAGCGTTCCCTCATCGGATGGCTGACAAGGAGTCAGGTAATCTGCTAAGTACAAACTCACGTGGCTTCATCAAAATCTAGTGTATACATTAAGCACAGACATCTAGATGGCTCCTAAATTCATAGGAATATTTCCAGGTGAGTTCATATTTATGGGCACATAAAAGCTGTCATTTTGTGAATAACAAATAAGCCATCAAATGATCATATTACTTTGTGTCTCCAACCACAATTAACAATAATGTAAAACAACCTTTTCGCGCTACTGCCAAAAAGTAATTTCCATGATAATATGAAGAGGCTCAATTTTATAGAACAACTATTGTCTCAGGCAAGGTGATATTCCCTGCTCTGGTTTTCTAGTTCCCTATTGGCCAGAATATGCTTTCCTCTTTTCTCATGAGTATAGATTTCACCACCTGCTTCTCCTGGCACAACACTTAATCAAAATAAAATTAAACACAATAATAAACTAGGCCTACAGAATATTCCCAAAGCAAGCTGATTTTTATCAATCATTTTAAAATATTTTTGATGCTCATTTATATTCCAGGTGATCAGACTGTATAAGACATCCTGCATCAGGTAATATTGGGTGCAAGTGGCAGAATCATGTAAATATTTCCCAACAGATGGAAACGTAATATTATAAAAATAAAGCTACTCGTATCCTTGGCTTTTTTTCTGGATATTGAAAATATGTAGACCAATATCCCACCATCCCACCTTCTCTATGCAGTCCTCACCTAAAACTCTCCATTTGAGAATTTGACATTTTGGAAATAATGGAAAATAGTCGGAAATTTCCCAGTGAGCTTTATAGGTACATCTGTGCTACAGAAACATTCCAGTGGTTGCTCTCTCAAATTTCTGCTCCATTCTACTCAAAATCAACAGGTCAATCTGGATCCATTTTTCTATGGTCATTTTTTTTTTTTCATTGCAGAAACAACTCCATAAGATGTCCAGTAGAATTCAAAACAAAAGAAAATCAACAACAACAAAAAGTCATGACCCTATCATTGCACGTTAAATCATGTTTGCGTTTCTTTCTGTTT